GGGTGGAGGGGGGTCGTTGTTGGGGGGGCGCTCGGGTTATAGGATTTTATTTATTTCTATCAACACTACTTGAATCTACGCGTTTTTCTAACATCATGAATTAATTTATATATAATATTCGCAGTTCTCAACCGACTAATGGTGTTCGTTTTGATACTCGCCCATTTTGTTGCGCAACCGGTTAAAATAAGAGTCAACCAGTGGAAGAGTTTTACATCACCCAAGTTCATTCCAACGTGTATATGCACCAGGCAAGTAGAAGTTTTAAATTTTCCAATTAAGTTTTAGAAAGATGTGTACACGTGTCTTAGTTATACTAAATTATCTCTCTTCCAGGAAGTTAAGTCCTAACGTTCTTCCTGTTCTCCAGATGATTCTTTCTCAAAAGTAGGTAATACGAAGTGACGTTTTAATTCTCTTATATCACTAAGTTTTTCTCAAATAATTCAGTTTTACACTCGATGAAACACTGAAATTTATTTAATTTAAAACAAATCAAATATTTGTTTATTTTTCTCACTTCATCACACACAAAAAAAGTGAATTGGAAAAGAATGTATTCATTTCCAAATTAGTTGTGTTTCAAATAATTATTTCAATAACAATTATAGAAGCAAATAGTAGTATTATGGCTGTAAATATACAATACTTATAAATGTCATTGGATAAAAATTTATATAGAAACCCATTCAGTAAATTCCAACTTCTTTTTCTCATCAAGCATATCGTGTAATTATGTAGCATAATCTATCGAGCAATTAATACATGCATAACAAATAAAGGTAGTATGGACACTAAAAGTTATCACCCGACACTGAAATGTGTTTTTACTTCCTTGCTGTACACCAGCCAGGAGAGAAAACGTTATTCCAGTATCTTGGATTTCCCTTTGGATCGCGTGGGGGATCGTCTGCTGGAATCATGGTTCCTTTCAGCTGCAATAGATGGCGCTTCAACTTCTCGACAATATGAGGATTTGAAGTTGCTAGATTCTGACGTTCCATTGGATCATCTGATAAAGATCATAGATAAAACATCATATATAAACTCGAAAACATTTACATAAATCCATTTTAGTTACTATTTGATAATAACTATGTCACCAAATCTTTAATGACTTATAAAGACGTATTAACACATTTGTGTACTTCTTGTAAAATGACATTTTTCGGCAACGTACGTGAAGAAAATATATTAGATGTGAATGTATTCATACTGGTGTTTAAATAGTATTATTTCATATTTTCAAGTAAGTGCGTATACTTAAAAGTAATGTTACTTTGACTTTTGACGCCAAGGTGAGGCGAGTTACAAATTAAATACGTGGTTACGTTATCATAATGTTATTAACATATACTTTACAAAGTTTCGTATAAAATATGTGACAAAATACGTATAAGATGAAAAAGAAGAGAATCTTTTAAATCAAAAGATTATACTAGCCTTAAAAATTCTCTAAGACACATTCTTTGAAAATATTACACTGTCGGCATAGCGGCTCATAAAATGGCTCTAAGTTTCAACCACAAACTTTAGCTCATAGCTCCGTAATCTCTTGACCGATTTGATATCTAACCACAGTTTTGAACTCAGGAGGTCAAACCCTTTCGATTTATTTATTTGACCACGCCCAAGATCTCATAGATTATTTTCTCTAATCTTGCCTAAAATAAATTCAATTTGACGGTAGGCTGGTAGAGATCCTGGTGAGTAATAAAATCGAATTGGGTATACGCACACCCCATGATTGGTACTGATGACGCACAAAAAATATACCTAATAAAAAAAAAAAGGTCTCGTAGATTAATTTACTCTAACCCTGCCTAATAGAATTTCAAGTGCCGCGGCTATTGAGGATTCCCACTTGTTTTTCAAGTACAAACTTTTAGCTCATAGCTGTATCGCTTGACCGATTTGAGATCTAATTACAGCCACAGCTATTGAGGATTCCTTTTTCTTTTAATAAAGGTACTTTATTCTAGTATTTTTGCAAATCATCGTGCTTAAAATAATATTATCATCTTCAATACTATAAAATACATTACTTTTGATATTAAAGAGAAAAATGTCATCCTTGAGAGGGCTCTCTTCAATTTCGGTGTTACTGATATTCGTCAATTTGGCAGTAGGGGTCGGAAACCATCCACTAGGATAACCACCTGAGCCAAGGATTAACTTATAATCTCCAACCCTGACAAAAAAAAGATAGAAATATAATTTAGCAGCAATTAATCCACAAATATTAAAGACGTAGTGAATAAAATTATAACCGAGACTAAGAAAAATAAAAATAGATTTTGTTTTCATTACTTCTTGTAAGAAAATAGCACTGTAGTATTAGAACTTATTTTAGACATTCGTAGTAAACTTGTAAAAATTTATTCAAATATTCATCAAGAGAAAAAAAGGTTCCAACTGGTTCCGAAATTGAGGGCATTGAACAATGGCATCAGAGAGCATGTGTCTGCCAAGAAAATAGATGATTTGTTTGTTATGAAAATTCGCAAAAAAAAAACACACATGGGCTACCTGTGCTAGAAGTCACGAATTTAAAACTTATTAGATGTTTATTAGATCGACAGCAACCACCGTCAACTCTTGGGTTACTTTAATCGAACAGTGAAATTTAACTGTCACTCTTATAAAACACCCGAGGCTCCAAAGTGCAATTTTTCGATAATGGGACCCGAACCATGAATCAATGAATGTAAAATCCGCCAAGCTAACCACTAGGTCATGTCCATCCTTACTCTAGATAAAGTACGATTGTTTGAATTTAAGCCCATTATTCAGCGAAACATAAAGACTCGAACTATCCTGATGATAGAAGACATTCAACCTGATAGCCCCTCTGGTTTTTGATGTTTTGGTATCATAAATGTTGTAAACAAACTGGCGACGATGTGGCGCTCCTTGTCCGTTAATCATATTCCATTGGTTGATTCCGTCAATTCCTGGGTCTAAACAGAGAATCAGAAAAAAAATTACTGCAGACCCTTCAAGCATTTTTTTTTTTGGCTTATAAAAATAGAAATAATATTGTCATGTGAGCTACATATTTCTAAATTTTCTCTTCTTTTACTCCAAACTTACAATTCAAACTAGCATTATTTATCAATGTACGGTTGAACAGATAAATACGACAAATTATGCATCTGTAATAAATATGCATGATTATAACGGTGCATTTTACGCTATACAGAATGATGAGTACATTATATTAAAATGATCTTGGAGCCTTGCCAGGTCGTCACGTCCTAAGCATACCACTCCTCCTTGCGTGGTTTCGATATCTATTTAGAGTACGAGAACGACAGTTTCCCAGTACTCTTTTCAACAGTCTTATTGAAGAGAAATACACAAGTGCTGTGTCTGGCAACTTAACCAGTACGTCTTCGAGTGGAATAGTGTGAATAACGATTTGTGTCTTCAGATTCTTAAAGTATGCGGCAGTTGAAAGGATATGTCATGGAAGAAGCTTTTGTAAACGTGACTTGTGTCGCTTTTCCAGATGTTGTATACTGTTACATGGGCCGGCTTTTGCCACTGATTGTGAATTCTTACCTGTTGCAAAACGCATAGTTTTTGTTTCCCCGACTAGGTCGTGACTTGTTGCAGGTCTCTTCCTAGATGGTCCTGGGGGTCAAGTTGATCCATATTCCTTTGTTTTTCAATGCCATTAAGTAAAAGAGATATCCTTGTCCTGGAAATTCTAAATGCCTAATCTGAGCATATCTTTATGATGATGTGGGTATACGAATATTTTTCATTCGAAAGGGCTATAGATACCCTTCTCAAAATCTCTAAATTTTTGGTGGCATCATACTACCTACAAAAGGCCAAACAATGTCAAAATATAGTTCTAATACATTCCGTTCCACCGTAGCTTTATATCGGTTGTTACTGTCACGTAATATGAATGTTCAAAATCGTTTTAATATAATGTTCTCAACCCTGTAGTAACTTGAAAGGACTAAATATAATAATTCAGAATAAACAGGTTTTTACTGAAAAATAAACTTTTATTTACTCCATATTATATTGGATTCCTAAAAACTGTTTAACATAGTTAAGAAAAATAAAAGATTTTATGGTCGGTGATGTAACAAAAAGTGCTACTTGGTAAAAAAAAGAAAGAATAACTTGTAATCCAGTAAATCAAGGAAGAGAAAAGATAGAACTGTATTGTTACTGTTTTAAAGTGTGTTCTCTAAACGGTAATTACTGAACTAAATATGACTACCTTTTCGGATAAATTATATCATATTTTACTAAATGATACTTTAAAACAAAAAGTCATATTTTAAAGATTCTGACGAAATTACGAGACTTTTCAGCCCAGACTAAAAATATTTTGAGTGCTTGCCAATAAATAATTTAACCATGACACATAAATAGTTTCTGACCACCAATTATTTATTTATTTTGCGCTTCTTGGTCATAAGGGGGACAGTTTTCTTAGAGTGACCTTTTATAAGTAGTTCTCTACTACTTCCGAATTAACATCATAAAAACAACTTAAAAAGGATGTTATGAATAGAAACCACTAACAGATATGTGCCGTACCCTCCGAAGTTGATTTAAAATTCTCCAAGTCCTATTTTAACAGTTTCATTATTTTAATATACAGAGTATACACACAATCCTATTTTAAGTTTCATTATTTTAATATACCGAGTATACACACAATTCTATTTTAACGGTTTCGATATTTTAATATACCGAGTATACACACAATCCTATTTAACGGTTTCAATATTTTAATATACCGAGTATACACACAATCCTATTTAACGGTTTCAATATTTTAATATACCGAGTATACACACAGTCCTA